ACAACCATAATAATATAGTAGGTATGGGTTTTCCCACTGCGCTGTGCCATCGTGTTGTGAATTTGATTCCTTTGTCTTATCATCATTCGAAAATCGAAACCGAAACGTGTCTAGTCTTAACTCTTAGTGCGTACATACTTCATATTCTTATGTAATGCGTGTTTAATTAACTTGTGTCTTGTTATAAAACATTGTTATAAGTTAACTGTGATTCTGTGAATTTATTGATTGTGTATTCCTATTTCGTCGTGTCACGTGTTGGTACAGCAAGCGGAATCAAATGTAAGTACCTACCTACATTTATTTCATATTTTATATATATTACATTCCACATAATGAATATTATAAACATACACTTATATAAGCGTGAGTCGTAAGTCGTAATCACTATTTTTAATTACGTGCTATTTTTTACTATGTTATTCAGTCAACAAAAAATCTATAGATGGATGACTTTACAGACACTTTGTTGAGAGAATGGGGCTCGGAATGTGGAATTGATGATAATACAATAAATATTTTCAAAGGTAATATAAAGCTAGTTGAATCATAAGGACATGGTGATTCATACATAAATTATATAACTAATGCTAGTGTGTTGCACCGTTATATTATAAGTATAGGGAAACCCCTCTATGATGGAATTGCTGGGGACCAACCAGAGTTTTTTGGCATTAGAGAGGTAAATTTCACATATTTTTGAATCGGAACTTAATATTTTCCGTCTCATGGAGGGTCCATTATAGAGAGGTTTTACTGTACTTACACATTGAATATTGCACTTATAGTTATACTTCAATTCTAATCATCAATAATTAAATATTTATACTAGTGATATAGGTACTTATATAAGGTATTGTGTTTACTTTTATAAATCGTTTAAGACTAAATCCACAATGCATAAAATATTAAATCATACTAACAAAAATAATAATTGTAATTATTAAAAAATAAATACCCATTTTTTTTGTTTTACAATATTGAATGGATTAGACTATTGGTGTACAGTAGTTTTAAGATAAGATAAGATAATTTATTGGCCAAAAATAAATATTTAAATAAACATTAATTAATATAAATTACACTATTATATACAGTTATTAAAGATATTATTTATAAATTGTTTTGCTTAATTGGCCCAATTCACCACTGAGGTATACCTCTTATTGGCGAAATTGGAGTTCTAAGTCATTTTACATATGTGCGTTAGTATTAATAGAATAAAATAAGATAAAATAAGACTAAGTTGAATAAAATAAAATAAGAATATAAGAAACAATTATTAAATATTAAATTTTTAAAAGTTTATAGTAAATTATAAATTAGAAAAAAAAGAAGAAAAATATATATATATAGTAATAATTACTTAAACAATATTAATAATATAATAAAGCAATAAATTAAGATAGGATATAAAATAATAATTAAGGAGAGAATTTATTTATCGTATATTTGGTTAGTTATCCATATATTTACAATTTTTTGGATAACTAACCAAATATACGATAAATAAATTCTCTCCTTAATTATTATTTTATATCCTATCTTAATTTATTTTTTGTTGGAAACATATTTTTAGTTAGGTAATGTTGTACCTAATTATTATGAATTCAATAAATAAGATGTACCAGCCAATATTATCTTAAAGCAATATACTTGTTAGGCAAAGTTCAAAATATACAAAAAAGTAAGAAAATCAGAATAGTGAATGTATATAGGTAGTTAATTATAATATCCTATGACCTAGGGATGTATATAATATAAATCTACCAGAAAATAAAACAATTTAGAGACTGTTGCTATTAAAACCAATAATTTATCTTGAAAGTATAATAGTTATAATGTATTGAATAAATAATATTTAGATGAAGAAATTGATAAAGAAGCATTTTTATCTTTAACTGAAGACATGATAAAGGAACTAATTCCAAAAATTGGAAAAAGAGCTAAATTTGTTCAAAAGCTGGAACAATTTAAAAGGAAAAGTCTAGTATGTAAAAAATATTTTGTTTCTGTTTATTATAATCGGGGCCTACAAATTGAGGTGCCTCATGCAAAATAGTGTAACGGGGACCTTTAATTTATATACTTCTTTCATTCTGGATAAACAATCTTGTTTTGAAAAAATTAAATTAATTCCAATCATCCAATCATACAAAAAATATCAATTATATAGGATTCTAGTCATTATTTCAGCATTTTCTATGTTCCTGCTTATGTAAAATAACAATTGAATTCTGGTTAGGTAAACTAAAATATCTTAAATACACCAACAAATAAAAAAATATGCAAACATTTTTTGTAGTAAGCTCTGTTTTGTTGGGACCTCAAAATTACATAAAATTCTATGCATGCAGGTAAACCCTACCCTTACTCTGGCCCTGATTATACTTTAAATCTTTCATTTTGTTGGTTTACAAAATTTACCAAGTGCATACAATTTTTTAAATCGTATAATTCTTACCAAATTAACCTATTGTTTATTTGCTCATTAGGAAGTTTTTCAAGAAAATAATGTACAGCCACTTATTTTACCACCAGTAGACACAAATGGTAGGAATTTAAACTATATTATGTACCAACATTAAAAAATAGGTGGATTATATTATTTCTATATGATTTAATTTTCGTATATACGTCTAGAATCTGATAAATGCAAAAATATTCAGATTTCTGATATTGAAGTTTTTGAATTTGAAGATATTCCTACACCTGACAATCTTTATACTCAAGATGTATTTCAAGATGAAACATTATATAGACCTGGAACTTCTGCTATAATAGGTTAATATGTTTCACTAATATCCCACCACTCTGTTTTATTTTGTTTATTGCATACGTTTTCAAGAATATTTTGTAATTTATTTTTTAGATAATGATATAACATCTGAGGTAAATGAGGAATTGAGATGTAAAAGTAGCTTTTATACTGTAGAGGTATTTTTTTTCATTACTCAATATAGTATTATATATCATATTTTTTTTAAAAGAATCAATTTATAAAACTAGGTATAGTTCTAACATACAACTCTGTTTTTGTATGTACATTTTAGGAATCAGCATCAAAAGACTATATCATAAAAATACTTAATAATTATTCTGACGGTAATTTAGTTATTAAGTATTATGAATCAGTTGGCTCTTTAAACCAGTCAATGAGGAACACATTAGCCTCAGTTATCATAAAGCATGAAATTCAACACAACACAAAAATTGACAAAATTAAATTTTTATTTTTATCAAACGGTATACCTAAGTTAATTTTGGAATAATAAATCTAATTTACTTAATGTATTAATTTTTTACGTAATAACTAAAATTTAAAAACTAATTTAATAATGTTATGTAAGGTATTCACAATTTGTTTTCTAATGAAACTAAGGAAACATATTTCACACCTTATTATAAAGAAGGTCATAATGTAACACCTATGAGAGGAAAACTGTACGATAAATATTGTAATTTAAAAAAAGAAATCAAGAAAACTAATGTCAATGATCAATCAATTGATATACCCACAAACTCGATCAGTGATGATAATAGCATAAACTTAAAAGATGCGGGTATTAACTTTTTTTAAAAACTTTTTTACAATACATTAAGATATTTTTACTTAAATAAGTTAATTTATCATATTATGTATCTATTTTAATAGATTATGAAGATAAATTATTATGGCTTAAAAATAATACAGAACCCATCCAAACACTTCAAAAATTCTGGATAGAAACTATGGAATACCGGCAAAAAAAAAAGGAAAATTTGATAGAACTCTATCCTGGTCTTCAAAGACCTACAGGATATATTTTGGTACTTTTTTAGTTTGAATTATTTATAAAGAGTTAAACACAATACAATTATACTTCAGATTAATGACTAGTATTGTAATATAAAAAAAATATTACGAATATAAAATAATATATTACAAAATGTGTTTTTACTTTTAATAATATATTTTGTCAATAATCACTATAACATCTGTTTTAGATTGAACTTGATTTCCAGGATTTATATCCAAACAAGGAATTTTTACTACTGAATAAAATTGATGTTTTTAAAGTTCAACTCATAAAATACATAGACAAATTTAATTTTCAATTTGGAGTTCAACATTTCAATACTGTTAGAGAATTAAAGAATCCTTCAAAGCCTGGTAAATATTATAATCAATGATTATTTTTGTTAAAGTGTCCTTAATTTCTTTATTTATTTTTTCTGTATAGGTAACGACTATGTGTCAATTTTAAAATTACTTCCTCTATTGTTTCAACCAATAACTGTAAGACTAAACAATAAAAGAAAAAAAGATTGCATGCCATCGGTTTGGAGACCATCAAAAGTGGAGCAAGCTGCTGCTTTTGTAACATTTATATCTGTAAGTTTTATTTATGAAAGTAAACTCAAAAAAAAATGAAAAAAAAAATATGTTAACATGAAACAATATATTACAGGATGTCGGTGAATTGAAAACATTACACAACTCAAAAATAGAAAAAGCTCTACAATTTGGGTTGACATTGCAACCGTATGTAGTAATTGTTGGTTCAACCGAAATATTTACAGTTGTTAATAATATTTATTTTAAATTTTTTAAAAACGTATGTTTCAAAACATTTTTTTCATTAAATGTACACTATCCTGCAGAAAGTGAGCAGGTATGGTTTTTCATACAGAAATATTTTTATGACATAAATCTTAAATCGGATAAAAACATATTATCAGTACAAACTCTAATAAATGATTTGAGTAATATATAATTATATTTTGGTATAGTTAAACTTTGTTTTGCTGAACATTATTTATATTATTATTATTATAAGCATTTTGTTAAGTAAGATTGCCGATTGGTATATAAAATTAAATTAAATTTTACATTTATATGTAGTTAATAAGTTATCTATAACTTACCAATTATAGTAATAAGATAAAATTACCTATAATTATAATTTTTTTTTTTCTAAAAATATGTTCTTTTTATGTACTTAAATAATTATAAAATAATGCCTTATTGTTTTATGTGCAAAAGTATTTTTAAAATAAATTCTCATTTAATAAGTCATTTAAATATCTTCCACGATGTTAAATCTATATGTGAATTTAAATGTTTGGAAACTGGATGTTATAGAGTTTTATCTACTTTTCATTCATTCAAAAATCATATAGCCCAGCATAAAGATGTATTGGTTGAAAATAATAAACCTGATAATTTTCCTGTCTCCACATCTAAACAAGAACATGCAGATTTAAATATTGTCAATTCGCCCATTTTGAATGAAATTATTTCTTCGAATTCTAACAATAGTTCAGACCAAATATCCGTTGATAATTTTATTGATACATTGCGTTGTAGTTCAGTGACTTTAGCATCTAAGTGGTATAGTAATAGTATAATACCAAGAAAAATAATTCAAGTATTATTTAATGATATCAGACAGTTTAATAATTCATTTTTATACCTCTTAAAAGATAAAATGCTTGAAGTTAAATATGATTTAAACCATACTAAAGATATCCATCTTATGTTTGATCAACTCTCAAATCCTTTTTCTTCTATAAGTTCTGAGCATCTTCGTTTCAAAACCTTTGATGAAATTGGAATTCTTATTCGACCAAGATTAGTAGATATCGGATGTAGACTAAATGATAGAATGAAGGCTGGACGTGTTATATTTGAACCAAAAGTTTTTCAAATGTCTTTTGTTCCTCTTAGGTATGTGCTTAAGACCATGCTACAAGATTGCAATTTATTTGAAGTAATTATAAAATTTATGAATCATTTAGAATCTAATTCAAATAAATGTGTTAGTAACTTTGTACAGTGTAAACTGTGGAAAAGCAAACTGGAAAAAAATTCACAAAAGATACTATTGCCTTTATTTTTATATTTTGATGATTTTGAAATAAACAATGCTCTAGGCTCTCATGCAGGTAACAATAAGTTAGGTGCTGTATATGCGTCATTACCATGTTTGCCACCTGAATATTCTTCTTCTTTAGAAAATATATTTTTGGCATGTTTATTTAAATCAGTGGATAGACAAGAGTTTGGAAACCGTGCTATTTTTTCAGAACTTATAACAGAATTGAATTTTTTAGAAGTTACTGGAATAGAAATATTATATGATGGTGAAGTAAAAAGAGTTTTTTTTTCATTGGGTTTAATTTTAGGGGATAATTTAGGATTACATAGTATACTAGGCTTTTCAGAAAGTTTTATGGCAAACTTTTCTTGTCGTTTTTGCAAGTCAAATAAATCTGATTGCAATCATCAATTAGTACAGATTGATGAGAACCTAAGAAATGAAGTCAATTATTCTACAGATATTGCGATTAATAACCTTTCACTCACTGGAATTAAAGAGTTGTGTGTTTTTCATGAAATACAGTCATTTCATGTGACAAACAATTATGCAGTTGACATAATGCACGATATTTTGGAGGGTGTTTGCAAGTATGATATTGGTATGATGTTAAAAGTAATGGTATACAATTTAAACTACTTTACAATTGATACTCTAAATAATAGAATAGAGTCATTCAATTATGGGCCCATTGACATTCGAAACAGACCTCCTCTAATATCCATTGATTCATTGAAACATGGTTCAATTAAAATGTCCGCTAGTGAAACATTATGTTTCACAAAATATCTAACACTAATTATAGGTGAATTAGTTCCATTAAATTCTGAATTTTGGAGTTTATATATTATTTTAAAACAAATTATGGATATTATATTTGATAAATGCCTTAAATTTGAAGATATTCAACTTTGTAAACTCTTAATATCTGAACACCATGCATTATATATTAGATTATTTAACACTAATTTAAAACCCAAATTCCATCACATGACACATTATCCTTTAATAATGGAACAGTGTGGACCTTTATCATTGATTTGGTCCATGCGTTTTGAGTCAAAGCATAAACAATTAAAAGATACAGCTAAATCTATAACTTCCCGAAAAAATTCACCGTATACCTTAGCGTTAAAGCATCAACTTAATATGTCGTATAGAGTTTTGTCGTCAGTTAATACAATAAATATTAAGTTAGGACGTCGTACATTACTTTCAGCAAATACGCGGCTCAAATACAAAAATGTTAAATTTATATGTTCACCTTTTAATATTTTAGATGATAAGGTACAATTTTTTTCATGGATTGATTTTAAAGGTACCATTTACAATTGTAATAATATGTCAGTTTTGATTAATTTTAGTGATGACCCAAATATTTTACCTCTGTTTGGTTTAATTTTATCTGTCTTTATAATAACTAATAACAATGTTCCTTTTTTAGTTTGTAGTATTTATAATAATAATTATTTTGATGAACATTTACAAGCGTATAATGTACAACTTACTAATGATTTAATATGTTGCTCAGTTGAAAATTTGGATTGTGTACAACCCACAATTCATTGTGTTATGTCTAATGGGTTATGTTTTATACCAAAATAAATAGTTTTTATATAATGTTATATTATATTCTTTTATACATTAATTATTATACCTAAAATATATATATTATTATTCATTCAATAAATTACATTTTTTTACTTCATCAGTTGTGTTATTCTTATATTATATTTATATGCTTACCTAAATTTACCATTCCTACCAGTAGTGTACTCAGGATTCCCCAATAGGGGGAACCAAATATATTATAATATTATTATGTTTGTCGTCTAATCTTAGTTTTTAATATTGAATAGTTTATATTATATTTTTTTATATTACTATTTTTCATAGTAAATAGGGAGAATTGAATCCCTTAGTCCCCCCACCCTGGGTACAACACTTGGTCCAAATATAGTTTATATATATATATGTAATTAGTAGTCTTAACTAAAAATATTTAGTTGGAAATACTACAATATACATTTTGTAAAATAGTTAATCCAACTGAAATGTTAAGTAGGAAATACTATAATATACATTTTGTAAAATAGTTGTTTCAACTAAAATATTTAGTAACACTAATTATTTTTTTTAGTTACATATACTATAAATTCAATCAAAGTGTTTGGTTGGTTTAACTATAAAATATAGTTACAATTTTAGTTAGAATTAAATTTAGTTGAATTGACTATTAATATTTTAACCATAATCAAATAGTATTTGCAACTAACAATATAGCTATGCCATATGGAACTATATTTTACAGCTGAAGTACATATAATTGCAGTTGAACTAACTAATTTTTTTTTTCCGTGTATGATTTGTGTTCAGGTATAATATCATAACCTCAAAAAATTAACTTGATCCGTGTAAAGGTTAAGTAAATCGCGTCGTGCGATCGACATATATATGTTTACATATAGGTACGTACGTCTGACCAATAATAATGCATTAAACATGATAATATTATACTCACCGAAAAGGTCGTTTCACAGAATGACGTATAAATTAATTTTGATGGATAATACTTTCGTCCGTGTGACAGCAAAATATTACTGGTTTATAACGGAATGGCGTGTTGAGGGAAAAAATCGGTCGGAATAAAAAATAATATCTTTATTGGGTCCGTTTTATTTGAAAACAAATTTGAAATTGAATAAAGGAGCTATTCTCCTTTGTCACTGCAAAATTTAATATCATATGCTACCTATCTCTATATTATAATATGTAATATTGAAGGTTGACGTGGCCTTTATTTTTAAAGATTAATAGGTACATCTTATAATATGTTTTGTGTTACGTATTATATACCATTATATAATATGTGTGTTGATACGATTAGATATATTATATTGTATATTTGATTTTTAATTTATTGTTTAGGGTGTGTATTTAACGATAGTAGTAATTTAAGAAAATGTATTAGTTTTTATTTAATCAATTTCGCCAAGTGAAAAAAATTTGTCTAAGAAGTACTTACCACAAAATATTTTCATAACCTATAAGTTTACAGATTTTTAAACATAAATGTAGTTTTGAACAAATACATAATTATGTATTACTTATCAACAATTTGTTTGTAGGTGTGTTTTTATGTTATATAATGTAGTAGGTATTACCTAATATAATACAGTCGAGCATTATAGATAAATATTAATTTAAGCTTTAAAATCATATAATAATACGAATTTTAATTGTTTTTATAAAGTACGGTATGCAGTATGAATATAGGTATAATATATTATTTTATTATATCTTACCTATTACCTAATGGGCAATGGCTAACACTGCAAAGAGCAATCTTGAAAACGCCTGATGTTACAGTTTCATTCAGACTATAATATTTAGTCAGTTAGGGGCAAATTACTTTTAAAATTGCACCTATTTAAATCAGGTGGATACTTTTTGCATCTTTCAATTTCTAGTTCTGCAGTCCCGGTGCTATATTATTTCATTAAAATATTCTAGTTCCGGTTTTGGTTTTTGAAAAATATTAATAAAGGGTTTTGGTTTAAAGTAAACATTCCAGTCTCTGACCAACTTAGATTTATTTGTTACCGATCTATATCCATTATTTGTACCCGCCTTAAAAAAAAATTGTATTACTTCAGGCGCGGATTCAGGGGTGGCTAAGGGGCTTTAGCCCCCTACCTTATTAGAAATGTCATATGATATATAATTCATTCGTCTTAAGTTCCCCGGTAAATTTTAAATATAAAGAAAATTGTTAATATTTCTATACGATTTTATACATTTATAATGTTACCTAAATAACTATCATGTAGACACTAAAATTATAATTGAGTTTTTTTTTTTGAAAAATTTAAGATCTCTAGTCGGACCCCTAAGCCTTTCACTTTGTCGCAAAACCAAATCTTGAATCTCAATGCTGCCGAAAATTGTTAGATTTCGTCTTGCGGCTTCATTCTCTAAATGTTTTCATTTGTTCGTTGTACAATACACAGTTCATAATAATTAATTTCCAATAGAATCGGTTTTTGTCTTTGTCGTTCGGCAACAGTAAAGCTGACTAGGTAGGTACCTACATAATATATACCTAGGTACATATTCTATATACACGCGTCCCGGTTGGTGAACATATTATAATATTATACAGAATATACGCTCGGCTTCTCCCTTATGGCACGCACACACATATATTATATAGGTATTTATATATATTATAACATAACATAATTAATATAGCCGAAGAGTTAAAAACGGTAATTAACCATTTCAGTTTAGACGCTTTTATGCCGGATTGTTATGATAATAATATAGTAATATATAGGCACACCAATAATAATTTCGCAATCAAACACGTTCGCTGCAGTATTTTAGCTCCTCGTTGTTCCTCGTTAATTGTTAGAACTTGCGATGTTATTATTATACCTCGGTGTATTATGTTGCCAAGATGCGTGCTATAACGACGACGTATGTTTCCATCGTTTAACAATACGGACAATAGAGGATATATTATATTATATTGTTATGAGACGGACGGATGGGCGTGTCGATATACGCGCGGGTACTTACTGATATTATGTATTATAATTAAATATTTAAAAACAAAACGCGTTTTATATACGTACACATTATAATATTATTACACTAGTGTGTATATATAATATATTGTATGGTTTAGTAGTCATATAATATGTTTGCATACTGCTTATAATAATTAGGTATAAAAAGGTGGGTAGGTACTTACCTACATTTAGTGGCATATATATAAGCACGCCATCTGTACCGCATTTCCCAACACACAAGACCAACTGGCGACTGACTTGGCCACAGTATATAATACAAGTATTAAGTATATTCTATATAAGTATAAACATGCATCGTGAAACGTCGACATTTTTAACTTTAAATTTGTTTTATTTTGTCGACTATACAACCATTGTATAACATGGTCAATAATTCTAAAACTGTGTCAAAATTTTGCTATGAATTTCGGTATAAGTACTCGTTTCTATTTATGCTGTTTTTAAAATCTTTACTCGGTATCTATAATACATCCATAAGTTTTTGGCTGCGCCCCGGAAACAATAACAAGACTGAACTTCCAAGTCAAAAAATTCTCAAATTGGATTAGCAAAAATTGGAAAACTATGTAGTTGATTTAATGGTGATTATATAACTACTTGAGTTGATATATTATTAAACATTTAAAAAAAAATTGTTTAAATGCTATATTATAACCTAACCTATATTATTGAAGTGTCGAATTTTGTTTTGTTTCTTAAACACATTTTTTTACCATCAAAATTAGACTTGTCGTGAATTCGTTAAGATATCTAAAAACGAGATAGTTTTGAATAGCAAGTGTGTTTAAAAGTAAACAAAAGTCGGTTTGTCAGTTGTGAGCCTAATACTTTTATTCCTTATTGAAAGCCCCCTTTTGGATACCTGGCTCCAAAAAATCACAAGTCAGGCCCTATAGATAACGACAATTTTATAATCGAGTTATATATCGGTTAAATTATTATCTCATATATATACTTATATAGTTTGTTTTTCAGTCGTCGCAACGTGTTATTGGAAAATTGCACGTGAGTACAAATAACACATATTATAATAATAAAGTTATAATAATATTATCGTTGTGTTTCGTGCAATTCGTATATACTAATACATCTATATGGACGAATAAAGTGTTACGCTCGTTGTATATCAATATATATATATATATATATATATATAATATATTATGCTTAAATCTGTAGTGCGTACTAGTTTATTTCATATATGTACAGACTACAGAGTGTATCTCAATGTTTGACCATATGTGCATAGGACGCTCTAGGATTTTCATCCTTGGTTCATTGGTTGTGTATCGTTAGTTTTTTGTCGATATGAATTTTCCAGACAGCTGATTTGTTGTCTATATGTGTATCCCTAAGTATTTCATTCTTGCTTTTCCACTTAGATTTCTTGGTTGTTAATTTGTGCTGAGGTCGAATTTGTGTTTTTTCTAACGGTGAATATATTTTGGATTCACTTTTGGTGGGGTTTAGGGTAAGTTTCCATCCGAGAACCTCGTGGATAACTCATCAAGAGAATATAGTTTTAGATCTTTTATTGACGGTTCCAGGACTTCGTTTTGAGTTATAATTATTGCGGTGATCGTTTACATATAGGTATAACCCATCACTGGTTTAAAAGCTTTGAAACGTGCACAAAACTATATCATAATTATATAGTATGTTGAACAATAATCAACGGAAATCAGTTATTTTACTTTTCAACATATTGTGTGTACACCGTTCGATTCGATAAATGATCGGCTTAAAAATATTAAAATATTGTCACAGATAACCGCGCGAGAGACACCCTGTAGAAGAGTGTGTACTCCCTGCAGGCTGGGTACCTATATATATTATGCGCAGTGCAACGATTGCGACATAATATGTATATATCTAATAATAATTTAACGTCCGCTTTGACGTATCGATCAATTATTATTATAATGTAACGGCGGCGCGAGGTCGTCGATTCTACTCGTTAAGACAACGGTAATTATATCAGCGATTTAAAGTTGGAAAATTAATTACCCG